ATAAAAAATAATTTATTTATTTTCCAATAACACATTTTTCTGGCTTCCAAAAATAAATGAAAAATTATTTTTTCAAAGAATTCTTTTCTCGACTTTTTAAAATTTCATTTCATCAGTCTTGTTTCTTTTTAAAGCAATGAAAAGGAATTGAAAAAAGCGCAAAAAGTAATTTTTAAAGACGAAATTCTTTTCTCATTCTCAAATTTATGCATCATCAGTTCGAATAAACAAGCTTAAAAATATTTGAAATGTGTGTGAATTTAAACACTCGATCACAAAAAAATGAAATGAAGTCGAAAAGAATGTTGTGCAATTTGGTGTGGGACTGAATTTTTACCTTTTTTTATTATTTTGCCTGCCTTTAAAAATGTAAAAAGGGGAGGAAATGAAAAATGTGCATTAAAATTTAAGGTATTGATGTGGAATGAACGCATTTACAGAAACCATCAAAATAGGAAAGTTGAGAGGGAGTGGAGGGGTCCAAGAAAGTTCAAGTCTCCTTTTAAAATTCTTTTCAAAACTCTCCATTGATGTTTAATAATTTGTGTCTGGTTTGTTAGAAGTTTGACAATAAGACAACCGAACAGAACAACTTTAACCCCCCCCCCCCCCCCCCCCCTCCTCTTTTCGAACAGGTAACTGCTGGTGTTTTCCGACTTGACTTAAAACTTAATAAAATCAGTACCAGCATCAAACTCAATTATTACAATAATTGTTCTTATTATTCCATCAAAACAACTTCTTATCTCTCTTTTCCAGTAATACTCAAAGTGTGTGCCGCGACACACTGTCGATTTTTTTTAAAAAAATATAATATGCCACCAAATAATCAAATTTGTGATAAATATTCCGAAAATCAAAAAAAAGGTTTAGAAACACTGCTATTTAACATAAGCTGACCATCTGCTTGGTTATTCAGAGGACAGTCCACTATTATTTGATTTTTAAAATAATAAAATAGTTTAGTTCTGATTCTTCCAGAAAACGAATAAAATTGGAGACACTTGGGATGTCCTCTATTTTACTTTCAGGTTCTTTATTTTTCAAAATATATCTGATCATCCTCCCCTCCTCTCTACAGTTGCAATCCTTAACCAACAAACAAAGAAGCTGGAAGCATGAAAAAATCAGATCCAGGAAGGTAAAACATTTTATTTATTGAATTAAATCGAATTTGAAATTTTAATCAATTGAAGTTTGGGTATGAGAAGCAGAGCTTAACAAAATAAAGAGAGACGATAGAGGTAAAATAAAGAACAAAACGAAGTATAACAAATTTATTGTTTTCCTTATGTTTCCATGCATAATTCCGATTTTCACAATGAACATTTAAACCAGAAAATAATACTTGTAGATATTTTTAGATATACATACACGCTTCCGTAGATTTGTAAAAAGACTTTATACTGCTGATGATGATGATGGTTGTGGTGGAAGTAAAATGTATCGATTACAAAACTTCTCCTACTCAACTCCCATATGTGTCTACACTATTTCTATACAGCAGATATGCTGTATGTAATATGGAATTATAATAGCCATTTCTGTGCAAATATGTCTCAGGTTACACGTGAATACATGAATTTCAAATATGAGTAAGTGGTAAGGTAAGGAAAAGAGACATGTAAGATACAAATAAAACTTAACTTCGATTTTCCTGGCTTTACTTCCTCCACGGATTTGTTTTGGAAGAATAAAATAATAATAAAATATATGAGTATATGAAATTTATTCAGAAATTATTAATACAAAAGAAGGCACTCAATGGCTGGCATTGTCTGTATGTAGGTGGAAGGAAACGATATGGTGAATAAATAAAGTGAATCTTTTACTTTTCCAAAAAAATATTTTCTCATTCATTTTTCTCTCTCTTTACTGTTTAGATTTTCTGGTGGTGAAGATAAGCAAAAATGAGATGAAATGGAAGGAACAAAGGTTGTTCATATTAAGTAGTTTCTCATGAGCCTTAAAATATGCATTCAAAGAAAATGAAAATGCAAAAAATGCATATAAATATTATTGTGCAAGGAATGGACAAGCAGCTACATGGAGAATAATGCTTAATACAAGGCGTATAAATTCGGGATAAATTACAAAATTACAAAAAATCCCAGCACTTCCTGACTTCAACTATAGACTATACATAGGAGGGATTTCAAGTGGTATTCAAAGTTTGATGACACGAAGTGCCGGAACTTTTTGGGATTTATGAGATTAATCCTTTTAGATTGAATGAGATTGATCCTTTAAGAAAATTTTGATTGAAGACGGACAGGGCCCATCTAGAATTTTTGCTAATCATTAAAGTTTCGTGGTGCAACTGTAAATTGGAACCTCTTTAATGAAATTTCTGCCTATCCTCTCTATTTCTTTATGTTTATGCCACGAAGGTAGACATAGGTCTTGTTAAGTTGAATTCCAAGTCATATGTTGGATTTACACTCTCTGCCCTCTTCTTTCTTTTGGGACAATCTTCTGTTTAACAACTCTGAATTCAACAAGGCGTAGAAACTCAGGATTAATCCTTAAAAAAATCCCAAAAATCATAAAAAAATTCCTGAGCCAATAAATATGGAAATGAAAAATCCCTGATCCATTTAATAAATAATTTTGGGATTTATGTAAGGGGCCATTCACTTATTACGTAACGCTTTTAGGGGGGGAGAGGGGTCTAAGATTTTGTTACGGTTCAAACAAGGAAATTTTTTTTTCATACAAAACTTTGTTACGAGGGGGGGGGGGGGGGGGTCTAAAAAGTCATTTTTTCGCGTTACGTAATAAGTGAACAGCCCCTAAAAGGGATTTCACATTTTCATGTTTATTCGCTCAGGGTTTTTTTGGAGTTTTTGGATTTTTCAGGATTAATCCTAAGTTTCTACGCCTTGTTGAATACAGAGTTGTTAAACAGGATATATTGTTCCAAAAGAAGGAGGAGGGCAGGGGGGGGGGGGGTGATAAATCCAACAAATGACCACAGTATTGGATGTTAAAGCACTGTTGGTTAATCGGCTTCAGAACACCACATGAGTTCACAGTATTCCATCGCTTGAATAATCTCAATATCTTAATAAAATTTTAACAGCAGAACAAAACTAAAGCAAAGTAAAAAGCAGCAAAAGAGAAAAAAAAAATTGAAATGAAAATTTTTCTCAAATTTCTTTTGCAAAATTTCGAAACAAAAAAAAAGAGAAAGAATTCAATTTAATTTTCCGAAATTGATGCAGCAGGAGCAATAAGAATGAATAGAAATGAAATGAAATAAAAGGCAGCAACTGCTTCATTCTCATACGAGTTAAAATGAGAAGCGCGATATTGCAATATTGCATATATAAAATGTAAATCTACTGAATTAAATGGATACAAAAAATTTCTAATTCAATTTTATAGACAAAAAATTTATTATTATATTTATTGTACTTTATTTTTTTCATATGAATGAATTACAAAACAATTGGTTTAAAATTTTATGTAATGGAAAACTGCACTCTTATGTTTTTAGTGCTTAATGCATAATAACACAATTGCATAATTTTCATAACAGTTTAAATGTTTAAATTATACTCGAATAACATTTTAACATTGCCGTCATTATTGCTACCGTTGCTGTTGATATTACTACGGTTATTAGAATGAAAATTGTTATTTATTCGCATACATAAATATGTACGTAGTTCTTTTTATATCCATAAATATTATCTCTAATGCATTTATTTTGCCTCTAATGATGTTTACGTTTTTGGAGCTGTTTTGTGAAGCTTAAATTAAAGTTAAATGTTTTTTTGTTGAACATCCTCAGCTTTTTTAGACTTTCTGGTTTGTAGCTTCCTTTTCTTGTTTGTAACTTCCATTCAAGTGTGGTCTCAATAAGGGATTAACTCAAAACCAATTATATATCTTGTCTGAACCACTAATCCCTCCTCTGGCCACGCTTTTGACTTAAGATAAGTGAAAAGATGACAATCATCAATTGTATGCAACCCTCAAGGAACTCTACCCTTCTTCTTATAAAACCTTAATTTTCAAACTCAGTCATATTTGATTATATTTAAGCAATTAGATCAGTTCCACACCCCCAGTGCCACTACATCATCTCATTACTGCTGATTATCTAAAAATAAATCCTCGAAAATACATCCAACAACCTACATTATCATGCAACCTCAAATATTTGCTCGTTACAGATGAAATTTATTTAATTTTAAAACTAACTCGCAAATGAAAAAGTTTTTTTTTCATGATCTTAATTTCGTGGAAGGTACGAGAACGAGGCTAAATATTAACAGACGTTTATCATAAAAGCTCAGCATTTGCTCAAGTGAAAAAAAAACTAACTGATGTTATTAATAATGTTTTAGCAGTTTTTCGTGATGCTAAAATTAGAAATGTTGCGTAAGCAGTCTCATTTGAGACTTAATATAGCTTGTGATTAAATGATTAAATAATCGATTGAGGTGCTTTTTAGGAAGGTTATGGAAAATTTGTGTTAATTATATTTTGTGATGAATGTAAAGGTGTAGCTAAAGGGGTCTGAGTGCTGGATGTGTACTTTTATGATCAAAAAATGAAATCATCTTCAAAAAATCTGTCAATATCTTTAATTGAATTATTTTTTGATTTAAAGCCTAAAATACTTCAGACTTCTTTTGGATGGAAATGACACAGTGCAACATCCCCATAACATATAAAAATCATTTATAATTAATCTCTTTGAATTATTTTAACTTAAATAAACTTCTTCTAAACATCAAGTCAAGTTATAAAACTAAACAAATGTAAGGAAAACATCTGATTTTAATTCCACAAACTTTACTTACTCTTTTCATCCAATTGTTCAAATATAAATATTGCTTACTAGGGTGTTCACAGTTTTGCACATCAAAACTCACCGTTTTTCAAATCTAGCAGCGTAATTAGAATATTTAAGTAGATAGTCATCCTTCATAATTAATATAAAACTTATTTGCTGATTTAAATCTTGCATCTTGCAATTTAAAAACAGTATAAATCGTGACATTTGTGTAGCAATTAAATCAGTTCAGTTCTCTACATCAATCTAATAAGGACCTAAACTGTACAAAAATATGAAGAAGTTATTAATAATTTCTCTTTTAATTCTATGTGTTTCTGCTGGGATTCTTGATAGGTTTAAACAGTTCGTCAACAAGCATAGAAAGAACTATGCACGCCTTTCAGCTGCTGAAAAATCTATTCGACAGAGAATTTTTTTAAAAAATTTAAATTTCATCGATAAAGTTAATAAATTCTTAAAAAATAGATTTAAAATCGGTCTGAATGAATTTTCCGATCGTGATCCAAAGCAATTTATCAAAGAAATGTGTAAAACAAGACTTCCAGCTCGGCCTAGATCGTTGCCATCATCGACTTATTTATTTGGATCTAATACACTAGATTCAGTTGATTGGCGTAGATATGCACAGCCAATTGCCCATCAAGGAGGTTGTGGAGCATGTTGGGCATTTTCTGCTGCATCTGTAGTTGGTAAAAAACTTGGCTTTTAAAACTTATAAGTTTTTTTAAGCTTCCATTTTGCAGAATTTTTCAATGTAATGAAAGGAAATTGGAACTACTCAATTTCTGAACAGAATATTGTTGATTGTGACTATGATGATTTTGGATGTGATGGTGGTTGGCCTAAAACAGCACTTGGTAAGTAATCAAGAAAAACTTAATTAGAGCTTGAATTGTTTGAGCTGGTGGCGTAGCAAGGGGGTTCAAATGGCACCAGCTATCCTTAAGCATCTTTTTAGCTGTTTTGAACTTTATCTTGACCAAATCTTAACATTTTGATACAAATCTGAAAAAACCTCATTTTATAGATTTCTTAAAAAATTCATATGGGAACAAACTAGCCAAAGAAATCGACTATCCATTCATCGGAATGAAAGCTTCATGTCGTAGAGTTCAACATTACATACCACTTAACATCGCAAATACATTTGAAGTGATTTTAAATGGAAATGAAACAACACTAAAGTCAATCGTTGCGAATCAAGGTCCTGTTGCTACTGCTATGCTAGTATCAGATTCTGGACTTTTTCAACTTTATGAGAGTGGAATTTTTGATGATCCAACTTGTCCTGAAACTACAACTGATTCGAATGATTGTTTTGATGTAAATCACGGTAAGTGAAAGTTGGCTTAAGATGCGAAATTTGCAATTTAAGACTTAATATTTTTTAAATAAAAATTAGGAGTTGTTATTGTTGGATATGGAAAAGATTCAGCTACAAATGAACAGTTTTGGATAGTTCGGAACTCTTGGGTAAGCATTCAAAAGTTAGGAAATTTTTAAAGAATGGTGGTTTGTCTTAGATTTTACGATCTTTGCTTCTATATCAATTTTTTTCAGGGTACTGATTGGGGTGAGTCAGGTTACTTCCGCATGATCATGGGGAAAAATGCTTGTAATATTGCATGCTATGCAATTGGAGTTGAGTGAAAAAATATTTGAACGTCCCAATACATGGCATTAATGCCTAAATCCACAAATCAAAATTTAACAAGCATACTTAACTTAATGAACTGTTTTTTTTTAAATTCCAACACTGATATCATTTTATCAAGTAATGCCACAAAGCTTTCTGTAAATAAAAATGCTAGCTTGCAAATAAGTTTGATAAAACTGTAATCTTGTTGTTCGAATCCTATCAAAATTCAGTGAATTAAATATGAAACACCTTATTTTTTTTGATAATTTTTTTACAGTGCAAATTAATAATATAGATTTAGATCGAACTATTTTGGATTTTACAGATGTTATACATGCACAACATCAAATACAGAAATTCCAAATAAAAATTTATCAATGAAAATCCTCCCGAAAAAAAAAAAAGATTTAATTGATTTGCTCAGTACACAGCATAAAACAACAAAGTATCGAGTAGAAAGATACACACGAAATATCAGCATATGATGATGGCAAAGGCACGCCATCCGGCTGTTACTCATCATCGTTCATCGCTATCGTAAAACAATTTTTTGTATGATTTTATTTTTCATCTTTTTTTTTCATGTCTTGCTGCTGATTCTTTTGCTCTCACTCGATGTCGATCTGATTGTGTGCCTATCTATCGAAGCGAAACATAGCTCTGCTGTTGTGGATAATTTAATTGTCTCTATCATTTCCTCCATCTCCTTTTCAATTCAGTGTTTTGTGTGTGTATATATGTAGATAGGATGATAGATATTTAAACAGCAATTTAACAAAATTATCGCCCATATTTTGTTTGAAAAGAAAACTTTTTTGTGATTCTAGTTTTTTTTCTTGATTGAGAATGAATCAGGGGGTTCTGGTTGGGAAAGAGGTTATAAAAATTGTTGCATTCTGGCCATTTGTCTGAATCAGATAAATTCTGAGACAGAAAATTTCTTCATAAAGATCGATTCTATATGAAGATAGAAAATCTAATCTACACAAAGATTATTTCTACATAAAGATTCTATCTACATGTAGATTTAATGTAGATGTCTACAATTCTACATTCTTCTCTGATGTAGACCTGGAAAAAATGTAGAATTGTAGACATCTACATTAAATCTTAAGATAGAACCTATATCTAGAAATAATCTTTGTGCAGATTAGATTTTCTATCTACATGTAATATCGATCTTTATGAAGAAAGTTCCTTAGCTAGACAAAAATTATTGAAGAGTCTACATTCTTCATCTAGTGTAGACATCTACATTTGCAACACTGGTTACAAAGATAAATTTAGAATTTTGTGAAAATTTCTGATTGGTCCCAAAATTGTAGTTTGGTGTGTTCCCAACCCAAGGCTCCCGGTTTCTATATCTAAATGAGCTTTTAATCCCATGACTTCTTGTCCTCTCATTCAATGATGATTGTCACAAACGCCTCTTTTTTTTTCATCCATAATTTCATCTATTTCGCCTCTTCATCCTCTCCAATATCCCATTCAACTTGTTTTGTTCAATTTTATAATGCCAATTTTAAATCTTTTCCTTTTTTTCTGTCATCCATTTCCGAATCATATTCAATATAGACAGTTGTCTATGAAAATTATCAAATTATAGATGGAGAGCAACACATTGAATTGTGATAAAATATATTTTTTAGATTGCTGTTGAGCATGTATGGAGGAACATAAAAAAATGGAATTGAAAAATGTCAATGCTGTAAATTTTTCAATATATTGAATAAGTAACAGTGAAAGAAGAGGGTCAAATAGAACAACAAATGACCAGCAGTAATGGCAATATCAGAGAGAAGAAACAACAAACTGTAGTAGAAATGATGGGATGTGAATTGAGTTGGTTAGTGACGCAGTTGTTGTTTGGAATTTGTATGAGTTTTGGAAGAATTATTGAAATATTAAAATGTTACTGTGGCTTGTTTTTAATGTTAGCTGGGGTGTCTTACCCTTGCCTTAAAAATCAATGGACACTCTCAAGTTTAAATAAAAATTGACTATTAAAAGAGGAGTATAACACGGGTTGCCCTATAAATCAGTCCAGAACTTATTAAATGTATTTCCTGACAAATCAGAGACTTGAGTCAGCCAAAAAAACTCAAGGAAAAAAAACCTTTTTGTTAGAATGTGACCATAAAGCTTGAACCCCCATTCCCATATTCCCCACAATATTAACACGACTTTTAAAGATCAAACACAAAATAACCCCAATTTCAACACAAAAATTTAACAGACACCACGCCTAATCATCAACTATTTCAATTCCCGTCTGTAAAAAATGCAGCTATCCCTTCAAAATCGAAAGCTATGAAAACACATAGTTTAGAGCTTTCACATACACGCGCGACATAACAACTATTGTAAATTTGTTTTCCCTTCTCTTTTCGTCCTCACACTCAGTCACATCACATCATGCACTTATCGCTAGCTACTGATGCTCGCCCTCAAAACTAATCACATCTCAATTGCTGTGTATCTATATCTATACATCCACATAGTTGTTTTTCAGCATTTTTTTTGAACAAATTGACCATCAAAATGGAGAAAAATGAAATAAAATGAAATAAAAATAGAAAAATATAACAGCATTTGAGAGAGAGAGAGTGGATGACGGAGAAACATTGAAATTCGTTCCAGCAATGCACAAATACATAAAAATTTCAAAGCAATTGCAAAACACTTTTGGAGCCATTATCGACAAAAAAATGTGTATATAAAGTAAAGAAATGAAATAAATATAAATATTATATTGTATGTGATTTGAAATCGATTCATTTTGCTCTTCTTTTCTTTTCAATTTATTTTGATTTTGATAATTCGGAGGTTTGGGCTTTTATTTTGTTAGGTATTGGTCATCAGAGTTGTAGACGAAAAATGTCAAGGTGCAGGCGCGTAGCCAGGGGGAGGGATTTTGGGGACAAATCCCCCTTCGTCTTGAGAAATTTCTTCATTTTTCTAGAATTTTTATGAAAAACTCGAACCCCCCCCACCTCCCCCCACCCCAAAAAAAGTTTTTCATACAAAAATAAAAATTGTCGCTCTTAAAATTCCTGTCTACGCTGCTGTCAAGGTGGGTTAAAAATAACGTTGTTTAGAGAGAAAAAGCTAAGTTTGATGGTTTTATTTTTCATTTAATCCTAGCCAACTGAAAATTATTTCATTCAAATTTGATTAAAATCCTTCTTATTCGAATAAACCCCTAAAATTGATCGAGTGATTTATGGTGGCTTGTGAAGCCAAAGTTTGAGGCATTAAAAAATCTATGAAAATAAACAATTTTCAGATAAACAGGTTTAAAACTCTGATTATGCACCTTACCCTTAAACTTGATTTAACGGTTTTCTTAACTTTGCTATTGGCCCTATCTTAGCCTTATCCTAGCCCTATACTAGCTTTACCATAGTCCTCAATAACGCTTGAAAACCACAAGTCAGTCTCCATCAAGACAATCACTCAAAAACTGCGCTTTAACCAAAACTTCCCCACCAATTCCTTCGAATACATTCTCTTCTTAAATGTCCATATAAATGATTGCAAAACAGTCAAGGAAGAAACACAATTTTTTGTGCTACCAGTACTGGGAAAGTAAGAAGAAGCTTTGAGTAGCAACAAAAATAAAAGAATGTAGCTCGGTTGATACAATCTATAATGAAAGAAATGGAGTGAGAAAAACATGCAAGTCATGATGGAAACTCGATCAAATAAATTTTCAGATGAACAGCAGTAGCACAAGCAGCATTTTTTTAAAAAAGAAGCAACAATATCAATAATAATAATAATGAATGTGCAGTGAACGAGAGGAAATAGAAATGAACGACATGACATGAAAGTATTGTTGAGATTTTTTCCTCTATTTCTATTTCTTGTTGATACGATTTATAAGTGGAATGGACTATGCATGCATGAGCATTTTGGAAGCTATTTTTGTAAAGTAATTGATGTGTGATTGTCAAGGATATTTATTTATGAGATTATATGCGTGGGACTTTTTGATTGGAAAAATGAAAGATTTGGTAGTAAGGTTGGAGGATATTCGAGGTTATTAGTGTTGCTAGCTATCAATTTAAGAAAATTTAAAAATTCAGCAAAAAAAAAACTTTAAATTTCTTTTATTTCCCCAGCAAAAAAAAAAATTGTTTAACTCACTAAGTGGGAAGTGAGCTCTTTCCGTCCGTCACTCAACATTTACTTTCCGTTCTAAAGTGAAAAATTTTCTATAAACAAGAAATTCCAAGTGTCAATCTTAATCAATAAAACTTAAATTGCTGATCTCTGTAAAAATTTTGAATTCTTCTGGGCTTTTTCCAAAAAAAAAAAAATAAAAATATCTTGAAGCTTTATTTCTGCTGTGCTGTGAGTTGTTGAAGATTTCAAGAAACTTGTAGATGCCAATCTGATAATACTAAAAATTTAAACATTTTCTTGTTGTTTCTCAATATTTTTTTTGTAAGTATAAAGAAGTAGAGAAGTTAAGAATGAAAGGCAGGATGGAGTTTTGGAACTATTCACACTGGGGAGAATTTGGAATGATTTTGAGTGAAAAAATAGCATTTAGAATTGATGGAGATAACCTTCAGGTACCATCTATGAGAAGCCATTTCATTAGCAATAACCTTATTGGCTAGTGCACAATATTTCGGCGTAAAGACAGCTTTAGGAAGAGGGGGAGGGGGGGGAGGGGGGTGCGAGAAATTGATTTGATTGGTGAGCTGAAATGGCTCGGTAGAAGAATGTTCAGTACCTAATTATTGAAATATGGACAAAGCATTCATGGGTTCAAGACTCGGCATGAGAAATATTTTGCTTATCTTTTTTCGAACCATATGTACTGGAAATGAAGCTCACAGCCTTTCTTTGCAGGCTACAGAAAGCATTGTCATCAAACGAGTTGTTCGGATCCCACTATAAACTTTAGGTCAAGGTTTGAGTGCAAGTTTATATGCAAAAGTTTAACGCATTAGCTGCGAATCACCCTAGCGCACCACTGGATCAGAATTGATCCTGCATAGGTAAAGATTTTTTTGTTGATTGGTAAATAATGTTAATCTCTAAACAGTAAAATTAAAGATTCAAACTCTGTTTGCTATTCTTCAGCCTTCAGTACCACTCATTTGCACCAAGCTTCTTTTGCTAAGCTTATAATCAGATAGATAAGCAAGCACATTTTCTTCAAAATTCAATTTTAAATTGATAACAAGTTTGACAATAATAATATTAATAATCTTTAGGTCAATTATTAAAACATAAACAACTCCCGTATCAGCATTCTTATCAGAATTTACTTGAAATTTCTCGCAGAAATGCTCAATAAAATTTTAATCTTTACATTTTTGAATGAATATTGTGATCATTTTGTGGTTGGCTCTTGCTTAAGATTGTTTACAATTTTAAAAGTTCCAGGAATTGTTACAGCATTTATGATGAACAAAAGCTTTTTGTAAGTATGTATGAATTGATCTCTGAGTTGAGTTAAGTCGACTTAAACTTGAGACAACTTCAAGCTTTATTCAAATTCTCCTTTCCAAACAGATTCTCAATACTAATCAGTATATCTACTTATCTGGATCTATCAACATCAGTCAACATTGAATGCACTTTTAATCCCTCAAACTGGACGATTGTAAAAGATTCATACCGATGCAATATCAACAAGAATCCATGGATAACAAGATGTGAGTCAGCACAAGTCAATTTAGTCACTGGAAAACATGAAGATGGAATGACAAATAATGACGTTAGCTCACTAAGAGCTCATGCTAAAACCATTAATTATTTCCCTCAAGGACTAGAAAATTTCTTCAAGAACCTCAAAGTAATCAGCATCTACAAATGTCAATTAAAAGAAATTCATCAGGCAGATTTGAAACCTTTCACAAAACTAGTTGAACTTATATTGCATCACAATCAGATTGTGGTTTTGGAGGAAGGACTCTTTGACTATAATCTGGAATTGGAGTTAATCTGGCTCAATTACAACAAAATTAAGCAAATTGATCCAAATGTATTTGATAAATTAAATAAATTTCGATACTTTTTATTTAGTTCTAATTTCTGTTCAAGTAAGGATGTATATAATTCTAGAGATTCTGTTAAGGATGCTGTTAAATTAGCTAAAGTTAATTGTGTAGGCTCGGAAAAGAAACGAATTTTAAGGAAATAAAAGTTTCAAGCTGCTCCTGGTGTGAATGCATGTCAATTTTTTATTGTGTAAAGTTATATTTTCTTCATTTCTATGAACAACTTTTTAAGAAGATTTAATGTGAGATTGAAGATTTGCAGATTTCTTTTTATTCTTATAATTTATGGGAGAAGATTTCTTGCTTGTGTCGAGAATTTTTGCAATAAAAAAATCGGAACTTTTCTTATAAGATCTTAAGTTGCTTACAGTGTTGATATTTTTGCGAGCTGTTTTTAATTAATTTCAAGAATTTCTCGACACGAGTCTGATGTAATGCGAAATTTATGAATGTTTATCGTAGGATTTTTCGGGGTGACTTTGGAAGCTTATAAAGTTGAGCTTTATGAGTTGTTGATGAATCCGATCTGTACACATTGAAATGTTGTCGATATGATGGTTAAGTTAATAGTATATTTAGAATAAAGTGGCGTAAGCTACAGTCACATTGCAGCTCCATGACAGTCACATGTCAGCAACACGAGAGTCACATGTCAGTGCTAAGTTACAGTCACATTACAGTCACACCACAGTCACATCACAGTCACATCACAGTCACATCACAGTCACATCACAGTCACATCACAGTCACATCACAGTCACATCACAGTCACATCACAGTCACATCACAGTCACATCACAGTCACATCACAGTCACATCACAGTCACATCACAGTCACATCACAGTCACATCACAGTCACATCACAGTCACATCACAGTCACATCACAGTCACATCACAGTCACATCACAGTCACATCACAGTCACATCACAGTCACATCACAGTCACATCACAGTCACATCACAGTCACATCACAGTCACATCACAGTCACATCACAGTCACATCACAGTCACATCACAGTTACATCACAGTCACATCACAGTCACATCACAGTCACATCACAGTCACATCACAGTCACAACACATTCACATCACAGTCACACCACAGTCACATCACAGTCTCACCACAGTCACATCATAGTTACATCACAGTCATAATTGTATGGAGGAAGCTATTTGAAAGCTACATGCCATATTGTGTTCCGATCGGGATATTAGGTAAGTTTTCAACAATTTCAAGCATTTATGATTTCATTGCATGTATTTCATCCTTAAAAAACCCATTTATCAAAAAGCTAAACCACATGACAAAGGCTTTCGATTCAATAAAATTCATTTAGGCTTTCTCTACTGCCATTTCTCAAACTAGCTTTAAACATGTATTTTTCCTCATCGAATAAAACACTAAAAAGGCAATTTATTATATTCAACATTTTCTGGCTGAATAAATGCTTGTTCAAAAATTTTTTTTAATGCTGTTGAAAGAAGGAAAATTCATTGTGAAGAAGATAAAAAAAAAAATAAAAATAATTGCGATCAAAAAATCTTTTTTTTTTGTGTATGCTTCTTGCTGTTGCTGAGATGTGCAACATTGATAGTCGATTGTTCTTTATAACACAAAATGCCATTTCTCTTTATCCACTTGGAAATGTTTCTCCTTCTTTTTTTTTCGGGGAGATAGGAGGAAATGTAGCAAGTAAAAGTGGATGAGATAGATGACTTTCGATGTTGCAAGATAAAATATAATTTTTTATAACTTAAATATATGTATATCCACACAGAAAAAAAGGAACGAAGAGAGATAGATATTTTGTTATATTGACATTCAAACACACATCGATATTTATAATACAAGATATAAGCACACGGAAGATATAATGCGGAATGGTAGAGGATGGTAAATGAATGAAAGTGGAGAGAAATCACGGAAAGCAAAAATGGAAGGAAAAATATGTTGGAAATTATTTAGTTTGATTCATTTGGGGCGCATTTTATTGCTTTGATTGGCTTGCTAAAGTCGCAATCTCACTGAGGTTTAAATTGAACTTCCTTTGCTGCGTGCACAGAGCCATGAAAAAAATCTCAACTTCAAAATATTTAACATTCAACATTTGCTCAGCTTAATGGTCACTTACTGATTTTAAAATTATTCAGCTTGATGATAAAACAAAGCTTTAAAAGTGCTCATTTAAACTTGCTCAGCTTTAGAGTATTACTTTAGGTACAATCAACTTGAAGTTCCAAGAGTTTACGAACAGTCTAGAATTCAGAAAATTCTTGTTCAGGTTTCTAGACCACAGTTAGGATTTTTTCAACGCACAACCTTAAAATAGCTTTAAACCAAGGGTGTGGAACTGAAGAATTACATTTTTTGATCATTTTTGATCATTTTTTGATCATTTTTGATCATTTTTGATCATTTTTGATCATTTCATCAGTACCACACCCTTGCTTTAAACATAATAAGTCAATAGCCGCCAGAGACGTAGGAATCGAGAAGGGTTTAAAGTTTTGGCTCTGTGTAAAACTAATCCTGCCTCCGGCTGTGTCTAAAATTAGCGTTCAGCTCTAATACTGTTTAGTAGTAGACAATACAAATAAATAGCGTTACACAGAAAGAGAGATGAATAAGAAAAGCTACTCATAAGAAAGCCGTTAATTTCAAATTCTAATAAATAAAGACACTAGATTGCATCAGTTTAAGATCCTCGGACAATAGATTGAAAGCATCAAACGCCATCCGCATCACCTCAAAAAAACATGCTAAGAAAATAGAGACTACAAATAGCAAGACAAGTTGATAGGAAAAATAGCTGATTCCAATGAATCTATTTTTTTTGTCTATTTTTTTCTGGCTCCATGAATTGGGAGACAATAATTCAATCCAAAAACAATTTTTCAATCGGATAAAATGCCATAAAAGAAATAAATATTTTCCGTTTTTTTCCTCCCATTCCTATCGCCTTCAGTTCTTCTGCTTTCTTGCAGTCATCTACTTACCAATATCCACCGACAACCACTCAGATTTAATTGCCAGAAATTTTTTTTTCTCTACTTCCATCGTCGAAGAATTATTTCCTTTTATTTTGTATATTGCTAGATTTTCTTTTTTTTTGTTCTTCGCTTGCTGGTAGAATATGCCTTATTCTTTTTCACGAATCGAGCATAACAGTGAAATTAATGTAGAGTAAAAAACGTTACGCATGCTCCTGTCAAGGTTTTCTTCTTCATTTGACATTCTTTTTTCGATTTTTTTTCTCGTATATTTGCAAAATTTATGATATCGATATTGAATTTTTTTTTCTTATGCTAGCTTTTCATATTTTCTTCATCTTACTGCTGCCTCTAATTCGACCTTTTGTTTGTTATATTAATGAATGAGATTTTTTTTTCGTTTCTGTTCATCCTAAAGAGAATTGAATGGCTTTTTTTGGAATTTATTGGTTTAAATAGAGGAAAAAATGTGATACATTAATTAGATGCTGACTTTTTCAACAAAATTGTGAGGGACGATGAATTGGATAGGATCGAATAATTGACCTTTCGTGAGTCTCTTGCGATAAGCACGGCTTTGAGTGGGTTTGATATCATAATTAAAGATTTATAGAATGTTTTTCTGCTAAGATTAATATTCGTGTTTATAATTAGTGAATATTGGTACCTAAACTGCTAAAAGTAGCTTGAAAACTTAGTGGTTTTATGGCTTGGCATTTATAGAAAAGAACCTGCGACTGAATGATTTATGAACACTATATGGAGTCCACTTATTCGAGTTTTATGAGGTTTGTTATTGGAAGCCACATTTATTACAATTATAATATATATTTATAACATATAATATTTTAAAATACACCAAATTTCACAATAAAATTAAAAAAATCAATTGCCATAGAAAATGCGGTTAAATCGTCAAATTAAATGCTCCTCAAAATTATCACGAAATTTTACATTTTAATATCTAATTTGACTTGATTTACTAAAATGAATAGGTTTTAATTTTCCACCAATTAATGACATTTTGAATATCATATTAGAATTTATGAATTATTAATAATTTAGTTGCATAATTTATCAAAATTGAAAAATTGTTTTGTGAAAAATATTAAATATTTTTTAAGCTCAATTTTAATTCTTCGTCGAATGTTTTTTATTGAGAAAAAATAATTATTACTGCTTTAATGATATTAATGCCTTTATTTGAAAAACATAATTGAACGAATTAAAATTGATAATTTTTTCTATGGAAATTTAATTTTTTCGATTGATGGTTGAAGTTTAATTGATTCTTATGTAAGCTGAGAAGTCAATGAATCCGATTTTATTGCAAAATTCTTTGAAACACAATTAAAATGAACAATTTTAAATAATTTAATTGAAATTAAAAAGATTGATTGATACTCTGTAATGTTGTGAGAATTGTTCAAATCCTTTTCATGTCTCGAATACTGTTTATGATGATTGTGAGAATGGCCTCAGATGGGATTCAAACCCACGTTCTGTACAATAGATATGTACAAATATCCGTGCTGTCTGTCCACTTGGTTTTAGACTTGATATTTAAGATACTCTTTTCAGACGAGGAATCGGCACCAGCTAAAGTTTTTTTGAAGGATTTAATGTCATGTTTGCTGTTTGAATTCATATCCAAAAATTTAAAAATATTGAAAAATGCAGAAAGATTAAGGAGGAGGGGGGGGGGGGGGGGGGGGGTTGAGTTTAGTAAACCATACCGATTTAAATTAACTTTTCATCAGTGTTGCATTCTGGCGATTTGTCTGGATCAGATAAATTCTGAGACAGAAATTTCTTCATAAAGATCGATTCTTTATGAAGATAGAAAATCTAATCTACACAAAGATTATTTCTACATAAAGATTCTGTCTACATAAAGATTCGATGTAGATGTCTACAATTCTACATTCTTCTCTGATGTAGACCTGGAAAAAATGTAGAAGTGTAGACATCTACATCGAATCTTTATGTAGACAGAATCTTTATGTACAAATAATCTTTGTGTAGATTAGATTTTCTATCTTCACATAGAATCGATCTTTATGAAGAAAGTTTCTTAGCTAGACGAAAACTATTGAAGAATCTACATTCTTCATCCAGTGTAGACATCTACTTTTGCAACACTGCTTTTCATCAATAAAGGGATTTTTGACTTCAACATAGGGTTTCCAGAATCACCATTTTCGAGAATTCTGGAAACGCTTATTCAACCTCATCTGGCTACACCAGTGCTGCAGAGAAAGAGGCATAAATATTGTACATCAAATCAACATCATTTGAGTGTCAACGGACGCTGAATATTTTTTGATGAAATTTTTTAACATTTAATTGCATTTCATATCATAAAATGTGACATGAAAATATTTTTTTCCCCCGTAAATATTTTGTATACCACCACAAAGTGTTTAACATAATTTTATTGAAGGCTGTATATTTTTTTTATTCATTCCTCCTATGTTTAAATTAAAACCTCAACATACAGCATAACAACAACAATTGTTTTAACATTTCATGATTTTTTTTTTATTATTTGTCGGCAAAAATGAAATGTGTAAAGCCATCGTTGTTTATTTGATTGTAAATACGCGTAAATTTCAATGAACAAAAAAAAAATGTCGGTACAAAATGCAAATGAGCGATGAACAAATAATTTTTATTTCAGCTTTTTTACTTTTTAAAGGGATTTGCTTGGTGGTGATTGTTTTTTGTGTGAATGGTGTTTTTAAGGTTGATTGTGGATGCGATTTGGAGATTTTTAATAAAATTATATTTTCATTATGATTAAATTTGCAGATTTTTTGGACCGCTTGAAGCTTGCAAACATGTCAAAATATTAAAAATCAGGAAATTTTAACTCAAGGGGGTTGTTAAGTAAGTATTCATCGTGAAGATGAGGCTGTCTTGCATCAAATTTGGAGTTATAGAGTCAAATTGAACCCCCCTCCACTCCTAAAAGCTTAAAAGTTTTGAACCCTTACCTTCCTACACCCTTAGTCCCCAAAATTTCAGTAACAATCCCACTCAAAGCCAATAAAACCCTCAAATTACAATCGAAACACAAAATTCAAAAAATATGCTTCATGCTGACATAAATTGACGTGTAGCATCATCATCATCAGCAGTAGTATGAAAATAATAAAAGCAAT